CTCTCTCTCTCTCTCTCTCCCTCTACCATCAATAATAATTGATTTTCTACAAGACTCCCCGGCCTTTATGCACCAGGCTACAGTACAGTGTGTGTAAGACTAGGGAGCGTTTGGCTCAAATGTAAGTTCTCATTTCAGGGAATATGTGTCTCGACGTGGTGGAATCAGGCGCTCGTCATTTTGGGGGAAAGTGGAGTTATTGGTATTATCTTAAAGCTTATTAAATCATCTTGCTACCGGCGGAAAAAAATACCCATCTATCTTGAATAGAAGTCGAGATATTTGCGATTGAAGAAGGTGAGGTCGCCTTCCTGTTTCAAAAGGGTAGAATTAGCAAGAAAATGGCGCCAAAGTCTGGTTATTTCCATAGCTTGATGCTAGTTCATGGAAACTGAAAACTTACATTATTTGTGCCTTTAATCAACACTTTTCAATAAAATACACCCAGAGGTGTGTTCTTAATTGAATAAAAAATGGTGTTAAGTCTAAAAACAGAAATTGGATAACAATTGTCAAATTGGCAGAAATATGCTAGATTCTTCAATTTCACTATTTTGACCAGCGAATGATTTCACCTTGCTTCCTCACATCTTATACATTCGATCTACGACACTGACATGCAAGCACTGCGACAGACTCTGCGCTTCAAACATAGGAAGAATTAGCCATGAAAGAAGCTGCATGAGGACAACCTTGAGACTATCTTAAGCTAAATTGACCGTCTGCATAGACGAAAAGAGCCATATATATATATATGTATGTATGTATATGCCGGCCGCCCATTGTTGAGGAGAAAAGTGATTGTCTTAGACATCGTCATTATGATTAGTTTAGTTAAGTTTTAGTAAGGTTTTACGACGCTCGCAACTGCATAGGGTCATATGAGCGCTAAGGGGTGTTTTAGTTTTAGTAAGGTTTTACGGCGCTCGCAACTACATAAGGTCATATGAGCGCTATGGGTGGATGTCAACAGAGACGTCCAAACGGGGAATCAGGCTTACTCTGCTCATCTCTCTTCCTTCAACAGCACAAAGTCTGCTTCGACTACTATCAAGGCACTCTGGAAATGGCAGTTCATAAGAGAGTGACAAACATACGAAAGAAATAGAGAAAAAATGACGATAGTAAGGATGAGGAAAGAAAAATCAGCAGTTCCCCCCTATGTTGTTCCGGCACAGTATGAGCATGACATTGATTTCATCTGCCCACCCATTTACAATTCTATTGTGCATAAGAACATGTTAATATCCCCCCCTCCCCCCTTTGCGATAAAAATTATTTGTAAAGAAATGGACAGGCGAGCTCGTTTTATGGCCATGCGGTACCAGAACCTCATTGTACGTTCTCCCTTGTGTGGGCGGTTGGTGGGTGCTTTAGGGAAGGCATCTTCTATACTATCAAACATCTATTGTCCATTGCTCTCCTCCTTCTTTCCTATCAAACAAATATTGTCCTTATCTCTCCTTCTTTCCTATCAAACATCGTCCTTATCTCTCCTCCTTCTTTCCTATCAAACATATATTATTGTCCTTATCTCTTCTCCTTCTCTCCTATCAAACATCTATTGTCCTTATCTCTCCTCCTCTTTCATCAAACATGTATCGTCCTTATCTCTCCTCCTTCTTTCTTATCCAACATCTATCGTCCTTTTCTCTCCTTCTTTCCTATCCAACATCTATCGTCCTTATCTCTCCTTCTTTCCTATCCAACATCTATCGTCCTTACCTCTCCTCCTTCTTTCCTATTAAACATCTATCGTTTTTATATCTCCTCCTTATTGCCTATCAAACATCTATCGTCCTTATATATCCTCCTTCTTTCCTATCCAACACCTATCGTCCTTATCTCTCCTCCTTCTTTCCTATCAAACATCTATCGTTTTTATATCTCCCCCTCCTTCTTTCCTATCCAACATCTCGTCCTTACCTCCCCTCCTTCTGTTGTTCTGTATGTCACTCTCCAGTAACACCTCCAACCTGTGGCCGCTGTATTACCTATTGGTGTTGTAAGTGCCGTAAAACTATTACTAGAAAGAGGTCACTCCGTTATCTCAGTTGGTATCAGTGGGCTCTCGTGGCCTAGAGGTTAAGGTGTTCGCCTCTCATTCAAAGGTCCTGGGTTCGAATCTGGGTAGCGACCAACAACATTTTCTTCTCAAAATTTGTCTCCTTTCCCCTCCTTTTCTGCTCTCTAGCAATGTTCTGTCGTCTGCTTTCGTCTCCTCTTTCTGCCCCCACCCCATCACCTCCTTTGCCCCTTCCTCTGGGCTCCTGATTCTTTCTGCAGCCTTTCTACTGCTACTCCTTCGCTTTTTCTTACTGTTGTCTTTCAGCCACACCCCTGATCTTCTGGTAGGAAAGATCTACACCTAGCCTTCTCGGACAAGGGCGAAAAATCTCGGAGGTCCCGTGTGCAAGTTGCGCACGTTAAAGATCCCTTGGTGGTCTAAAATCGATAAGAGTAGACTTCGGCCGCCACCCGGGCAAAATTCAAAATTTCCTACTAACTGAAAAAGTTTAGTGTGTCCCGCGCGCTCATATGACCTTATGCAGTTGCGAGCGCGGTAAAACACTTACAAAAAAAAAAGTTGGTATCACGCTCATCTACGGAGCACATGGCCCTGGTTCGAATCCCAGATTGGGCGTTCTTGATTTTGTGTCGTTTTGTGGAGTTTTTACGGCTATCAACCCATTTGGCTCAAGCAGTCCTATCAGAGATGGACGTTTAAATTCGGAGGTCCGCCTCTTCATTAAGCTTATAGTGTTGATAGTGGCGCTAAACCCACACACTAGCTCACTGAAACAAGAGCCAAGTTCCTTTACGTTCCCTGCTTAAGGCAGAAGAAATTCGGAGACGTCTCCGGCGAGCACCAAGGAACTATTCGGAGACGCACTCCCACACACAGATGCACTGCTTTGGGGGTCAAACTGTGTATTGTTTGCTGCAGATCACTCATAATACAGCCACCAAAACTGTCGCAAATCAAAATTATTTTCAAGAAAATTTCAAACCTAACTGCAAAATATCAAATTATTTGTCAAAAAAGGTCCTGATGCCCAAAGCATTTTGATTGGTCTATATCCGTCGGAGACGTCTCTGGATCAAAGAGCCAAAAACAAACTACTGTCAACTCCTTGTTCTGGATAGATAGCGTGGTGTTTGAGAGACGGAGTGTAGCCAGATAAACACACACAGTTGCGGACTAGAGCAAAAGCCAAGTTCCCTCACAGTCTGTGTCTGAGAGGCGATGAGACGACGTGGATCCAGACTGTGAACCAGACAACCTCAGGCTCACTGGTCAAGACTAGTGGTGGGCAAAATCCGGACAGCTTATTCGGATAACCGTATATCTCTCCATGAAACATTGTCCGAATCCAGACTCTAAACTCCCTTTCCTGACCCTCTTGCAGAAGTGGGTGCACCCATTTGTTGAAGTGGTTCTAACCAGTTTGCCGAAACTGTTCATAT